TTGTTGTTGTTGTTAAGAATTTTCATAGCAGAACACACACTGCTTCAGTGAACAGTTTTTAGTAAACACTTTATCATTAATGTTCCAAGACATGTTAGAATTTGAACATATCTACCACTGCTTGTGCTCAGTAAAGGTGCTAGATTTTGGAAATAGCAATTTTAGGACAAATATTAAATGGATTTTACTACTTATAGTTCAAGGAGGACTATATCATGCTTGAGTGTGATAGTTATTACTCATTTATGAATCTTCTGCCTTTCTGATAAGGAGCTCTGGTGACGTAGTGGGTAATGCTTTTGGCTGTTAACCAGAAGGTCAGCAGTTCAAACCCACCAGCTGCTGCATGGGAAGAACATAGGGCAATATATTTCCATGAAGATTTATAGCCTTGGAAACCCAGTGGCAGTTGCTGTGAGTCAGAGTGGACTCGATGGCAATAAGATGAGTTGATACCTTTCTGATAGCCTGCAGTTAGTTAATAACTGGAGCCCTCCATGGGTCAAACCTGACCTACATGTTTTTGTAGGACCTGTAAAACTGAGAATAGTATTTACATTTTTAAGTGGTTGAAAAAGTCAAAAAGGTACTATTTCATGACACATGAAAATTCTATGAAATTCACATTTCGGTATTCCTATATAAAGTTTGATTGGAACACGACGGCACTCATTCATTTAGGCTTCATCTGCTTTTGTGCTACAGTTGAGTTGTCAAAGACCATATGTGATCAGCAAAGCCTAAAACTTTTACTATCTGGACCTGTACAGAAAAAGTTTGCTGTCCCCTGGTCTAAAGGATTCTAAGGGATGAGGGACTTCGTTTCACATAAAGTCACTTTGAAGTGTAAGCTGTTGAATTTTCAGTCCAGTTTAGAAAAGATGGGGTGATGGGGGAGAGGTCTGCTTGATGATCATTACTATTTAAGAATGCCAGGGACTGTTCAAAACCATTGACATGAATTAGCTCACTCACCTCTCACAGTGAGGCGGGAGCTCTTTGTTTCTCCCACTGTACACAGGAAGATGCTAATACAGAGGGTGATCAGGGAATTTGCCTACAGAGCTAATATTTTTACCCTGCCAGTCTGGGTTGCAGTCGGGAGTCTGTGCTTCTAACTACTGAGCGATCCTGCCTCTTGGCATCATGTCTGAAACCTCAAGATTTGAGTACATCAATGCCACAGATCTTTTGCTTTATCTGAGCTTTTATCGACCTTCCAGAGCAGAACAAAGATATGAAGTTGAAAATTAGAAAAATAACAATAATTTATCTGAAAGACACTGTTCATAATTTCTTATAGGAGAGGACCTCTCCCAGCTCCTAGAAGTTTACCAGGTATGTGGTCAAGAAACTCCCTTTGAAATGCTCATGTCAGATTTTTTTTAAGGTTGAGTAGTTGGAATTTTGAAATAAAGAAAGGAACAAATAGAATCAAATTCCCAACTTCATGTACACCTATGTGTGTTGCTATCTGTATTAGAATATTTCTAAAACACAGTTTGTCACAGAGTGGAATTTGGTGATGGGTAGTGTATTTTTTGGGTTATCCAAGAGAATTCAGTTATTGAAAATACCAAAAGAACATGATAAGGCACTGTTACCTAAGAGATTATTTTACCTTGGACCATGAGAACAGCAGAATGAAGATACAGTTTCCTTTGGATTGTTGTTGTTGTTGTTGTT